CAAAAAAGTACTCTAGTTGCTCTCGGTGCCCATAGGGGCATGGATGCATAAATCTTTGGAATTAATTTTATTTCTTGGGGTGTTTTTCGTAAATATCTTTTGAAGATATTTTATTTCAGGGGTTTTTAAGAAAATATTTTTGGAAGATATTTTCATTCTGGGCCATAAGTGTAATTTTCACTTTTTATAGGGGCCACTTTGCAATTAATGAAAGTTATTGCAAAATATCTCGTCTGGAGCCTGGATCCTAGTACGGGATTTATTTTCACTTTTTGTTGACTCATAAATTCATAGAATTTCCTTCTGGTCATTTTTCTCCAGTTTCAGGGTTTTTGGCCCCGGTTTGCGCCAAATTTGTTTTGGGCATAACTTTCTGCTCAGGACTCTGTTTTCGACACCATTTCTTCCGTTGTTCATATTTTCTCATTTTAAATCTTTTTCATACACAAAGTTTTTCCATTTGAGCGCGTCTGCTCAAATTTTACTTTTTCAGACCCGGCGGAGCCCGTTCGGGGCACTTTTTGAGATTTCTAGAAAAGAGGGGTGAGATATTTCATTTTTCATCTTCTCCCCTCTTCAAGCACGACTTGGAGCTCCCATGGCAGCCTAAGGGGTACTACCATCTACTCTCTCCTCTTTTGGTTCACTTTTCCTTGATGGAAAGTCTTCGGCCATAATGTTTGTTGTTTCCCTCGCCGTGCTCTATCTTTCACCCTTATTGGAACCAATTTCTAGCCAAATTTTGAGTTTGGTTTTGAGGTCAAGTTGTGATTTTGATGGGGCTTTCATGGGGGTTATGTGCACGGTGTAGTCCCCGACAAAACCTAGTAGTTTCGTCGGATTCAGAGCCGTTACATTTTGATGGCTTTTGAGGTTTTCATCTCAAATTGAGGTAGGAAATGTTTTAGGCTTTTGTGTGTGTTGTATTGAGTGTTTAGCATGATTATACAACTTATATATATGCCTTGTATCAAATCTTAAAAGTTATTAATTTTTATTTCTTTGTATAAGATTTAAAATTCATGATGATATATAACTTTGATTTGAATTGTGGCATGCTAGAAAATCTAATTTTATTATATTTGTTGACATATATTAAATTGGGATTAATTAAATAAGAATTGCACTTTTTATTTAATATTTATCTTTTGTGAAAGATTAAATCTCATGGTTGTACCTTGCTTGAAATTGACTTGTAACATGCTTTTAAATTAAGTCTAGGTATGTTGTTTAACATACTTAAATTTGAGAGCATTTGGATAAGTATGAAAATCTAGAGACTTTAATTAAAATGATTAATTAAAATCAATTTAATGGTTCCTTTAGCTTAATTAAGTTTTGACTTAATATTTGAGATGACTGGGACTTGTATACTAGTATATGTTAATATGGGACCATTTTATGTTGTTTTAGAATTTAGGTACGAGTTCTCCCCATTTTATAGTGCGTATTAAGGTAGTATTCCCAGCGGGTTAGTGCCCGAAATAACCGTTTAGGTCTTAGTTTTACTCCAAGATTTGATGTCCAAGTCTTCCACTATTTGATTTCGCATTCAATTTTAAGTTGACAACCAATGTTTAATTGTGACTTGTGATTTTGGTTATTGGCGATTTAATGTTGTTAAGCACATTGATGCATTATGATTTTTAATGAATCATCGCAGTTTTAATGTTGTTAAGTACATTTATGCATTATGATTTTTAATGAATCATTACAATTTTAAATGTTGTTAAGTACATTCATGCATTGTGATTTTTAATGAATCATTGCAATTTTGATGTTATTAAGTACATTTATGCTAAAATGTTCAAATGTAGCTTATGAATGATCCTATAGATTCATTTGGAACATAAACATTAGGTGGCATGACCCACTTTTTCTATTTTAGATTTCAAGTTGATGGCTTTGAGAATTTATATCTTGTTACTTTGTATAACATGCTTTTATGTTATTTAAATTGCATGAATGATGTGATTTATGCTATAAATGATCTAAGATAGCTTAGGATGTTCCCTGAGTCTCACCTTTGACATAGACGTTAGGTGGCATGACCTTTTAAATTGTTTCACATTATTGTGATAACCTTGTAAAATGTTAGGTCTATGCATGCACATTCCGTACGAGTAACTTGTTTACTCACCCCAAAGTTATCGGATTATTTTTCAGATAAGGATACCTTAGTTTGGGATACACAATATCCCTAGGTCGTTTCGATGGATTGAAGTTCATTTAAATGTATTTATGTTCACATGCAAGTGTTAGCATGTTTGAGTTTTACTTTTGAAGTTGTAATGTATAATTAGGTTAAAAATGTCATTTTTACCTTGAAACTTGTAATGTGTGCCTAAACACACTTTTTGACATTCATTTTATATATATGATATTTGGCCAAGGGTTAAACTTCTTTTGAAATCCATGTATATTCATAAATGTTGAATTTTGCCTTTAATGAGAAGAATATGGGAAAGTAGTGTTTTAGCATGTTATTTTTGCACTGCAGCGTGCATTGCATATGAAAATTGTTCTTTGGCATTCATTTACTATGTATGAGGTGTGGCCAAAGGTTAAACACCATTTCATTTTCATTTATATGCCATGGTGTTGTATTTCACCTTTTTATGCAATTTTATGAAAAATTGAGGTTAAGAGGTCATATTTTGCATTGGGGTTATTTTGAAGCCATGGGCCATTGGGATGCATCTTAAATGTCTTTTTACATTTGCGTGCATGTTCACATCTCATAACACTCTTAAGATTCAACTTTGGAGCTATTTTTGGGTGATTTATGAATTTTTATGAAAAATTCATGCATTGGAGTATGGTTTGAAGTTTCCTTTTGATTTAGCATGTTATGGATGCTTGTATGAGGCTAGAGAATGTTTTTAAACTTGTCTCGGGGCATATAGGATGCATGAATAGCATCAGACTTGGACTGAGCACCTTTCATACACTTGACAGTAGCAAATTTTACTATCATCAGGTGCATCGGTCGGTTGACAACTGATATCAGTCGGTTGATAGCCTTTCGAGATCAATTCCAATGAGTTTGTAGCTTAGACAGGGCATTTCGGTTGGCTGGTCCTTGCCGTCAGCCTGCTGATGATGCAGTTTCGGCAGGCTGATCCTTGCCGTCAACCTGCTGATCCTCCCTGAAGCCTTCCCTTTTCAGTATTTCTTGGACAGCTTTCTTGCACCAACTTCAGAGGGCCATAACTCCTTCATTTCTGATCCAAATCAGGTCATTCTTGAGTCTAACCTCAAGAGCTTGAAGTTAGCTTTCCAATGGTTCTAGCTATACAAAAAAAATCCAACCTTAGTGAGAGTTATGATGGTTTTAGTAAGATAGGGTCGTGGTATCTCTTAAACGGAGGATACCACTTTGTTCTATCTTCATATCTTTTCCATCCGGACTCCGAATCAGGCGTTTTTTGTGAACGGTGGCACCTATTTTAGTTTGAAATGACCATTTTACCCTTGGTTCATTTTTTATCGGGTTTGAAAGCTTTACTTCAGTACTTGGCTCATTTGAGTTCCGTGACTTCATGGGGAGTCATTTTGGTGCTCATTTTACCCTTCATTCATTTCTTGTTTCTTCTTTTCACGCAGACCTTCTTCCTTCTTTCTTCTTCTTTTCATTCGTTACAAATTATGTAAAGTAAGGGCTAAATAGACAATTCCAAACAATAAGTAAGGGCTAAATGGACAATATGCCGTATTATTATAACCTATACCGTATTATTACACAAATATACCATATTATTATACAAATGTAATACAAGTTCAATAGTGTGCAATTAATTTTTTTTCACCCACTTTTTTAAGCAACGTGGCCATTTCTCCTCCACTTATTCCCAAAAATGGAGGAAATGGCACACTGTTGGAATGGAGGTGATTTTTGGCCCAACTTTCATCCTGTGTATTAAATTGATGTGCCCACAAGAGTGACAAAGATAAAATGAAATTGTATAACATCATAAATAGGTTTTCTTTCCATGATATTTATTGAATTGAATATAATTCAATAGAAAATGTCATTTTACAAGAGAGAAACAAAATCTCATAGGAAATGATTGCTTGCATAGTACTTAATGACATGTTTACAAAGTATGTCTGATCTATTCTCAACTGGTACTTTGATGTATCTATTTCGCATAGAATTTGCAAGGGAATAAACCTTCAAAAAAAAAAAATCATAAAATAGAACAACAAAAAAGAAAGATGGATACTCTGTTGGAAGAACTGTCAAGCTGCATTTACCATAGTTGTTAAAGACTCAAGGCGCACAAAAGCGCAAATGCCTCCTGGAGCCTAAGGCACAAGGCGCAAGGTGAGGCACGCGCCCGACTGAAGCAAGGCGCACGTTGGAAAAAAAAAAAAAAAAAAACAAAACCCACCCAATAAAGTATTAAAGATGCAAATCATGCAATAGTATATAGAAAGATGTAAAAGTCAACTAAATGAATTACTTAAGTTAAATATTCAACATAAAGATGCCAAAACCAAGTAAATCAAGTACTTGAGTTCAAAACAGTGAATAATCAAACATATTAACATAAAGATGCAAAAGTCAACTAAGGAGAAGTATAAGATAAAACTAAAACAAACATAAACATCATTCTTCCTAAGAAGACAATACCAATGAATCTAAATATCATCCTCGTCATCAATAAGCATAACATCATTTTGATCGTCACTAAATGATTCATAATTCTCAGGATCCTCTTCTATCTCATCTGAATCATCCTCATCCTCATCCACAAGTCGAACTGAAGAACTTTCTGCTCCCTTTGTTGGTAACCGTGAACTAGAACTAGATTTTGATCTAGTAGACCGTTGCGGCCTGCTTGCCTCTCCAATACCAGCAAAATTAGCAACATCACCCCATGTCAAGGAATCATCTTCATAGACTAGATCATGTTCTGCATCAGAATCATCCATCCTCCCCGTCAACAACTCATTGCTCTCATCAATGTCATCGAGTAAAATAGGATCAAGAGTGTCACGCATATTATATCGATGCCTCAATGCTCTATTATATTTGATGAACACTAAATCATTCAACGTTGTTTGAGCGAGCCTATTTCTTTTCTTGTTATGAAGCTGCAATAAATTCAACTTTAACTAGTAAGTATAAAAAATTAAAATTTTAATTTTCAACAATTAAATTACAAACCTAGTTAGTAAATAGTATATACTTACATGCTCAAACACGCTCCAATTTCGTTCACAACCAGAAGAACTGCAAGTAAGGCTTAAAACCTTTATAGCAAACTTTTGGAGAAGTTTTGTTGACTTGCCATAAGCTTCCCACCAATTAGCTATTAAAAAAAAATTAATAATGATGTTTAGCAACTTTAGCTTCATCTTTCTATCGACTCTATTGTCAAAATAATTTTAACACTTAGCTATACTAACTTAATATACTTTACCACTTTACCTGGTCCTCGTGTACTTCTCTATCTAATAGCAAAGGGATTACCAAAGAGGCCCTCAGCTTTAGAATATAAGGACAGCTCCTCGGTAATTTTGTCTTGGTCTTTGACATCTGGGACTAACCTTGCAATGCATGCATACAAACCCTTTGCAATCTCTTTATCTTCTTCAATTTTCGAATTTGAATAAAAGTATTCTGGGTTCAAATAATAACCTGCTGCATGCAAAGGGCGATGAAGTTGAACATTCCACCTCTTATCAATTATTTCAAAAATATCTAAGTATTTATCTTCTACTCCCCCAAATGATTTTGCAATGGCTTCTTTAGCCCTATCCATAGCCGCATAAATGTATCCCATGGGAGGCTTTCTCTCGCCATCAACTAATCTCAAAACTGGAATAAGAGGACCGGAAACCTTAAGGCTAAAGACAATGTTGTTCCAAAAGGAAGGCATCAAAACATAAGAAGCAACTCTTTTACCGGCTTCCTCTTTCGCCCATTTACTACGATTCCATTCTTCTGAAGTAAACGTCTTTCTCAAGTTATTCTTTTGCTTGTGAATACTTGATAATGTGATGAAACATGTAACAAATCGAGTCTTAGCAAGCCTAAGTAACTCCTTTTTGTAAGTAAAGTTCCTTATAATGTTCAACAACTTTGGTCACATATAAATATAACTATTCAACTCCACTGCCCTCTGCATTGTTCTAGAGATGGACGGTATTTTCCCAATGTCTTCCAACATCAAGTCTAAGCAATGAGCAGCACATGGGGTCCAATACAAATGTGGGTGTTCTTTCTCTAACATCCTCCCTATTTGAAACCAAACGGAAAAAAGAAAAAATGATATAAAGAGAATGAGTAAATCAAAATTGATTTAAATTATATATTTGTAAAGAATGTAAACTCTAAAAGTTATAAACATTGAACATTCTTACCGGCATACTTATTGCTTGACTCACTATCTGTGACGACTTGGACGACATTTGCTACTCCAATGCGGTTCACAAATTTATTAAGTAAGTCAAACATCTTGTCACCATCCTTTGAAAAAGAAGAAGTATCTATCGACTCAATAAACATGGTTCCCCTTGGACTATTTACTAGGAAATTAAGCAATGTTCTCCCTCTCTTGTCTGTCCACCCATCTGCCATTAATGAGCATCCAAATTTTGACCACTCCTCCCTATGGTCATTCATCAAAGCATTGGTATTATCCAATTCCTTCCTAAGCAAAGGAACTCTCACCTCATGATAACTAGGTGGTTTCATGCCAGGACCATATTGTCCAATTGCTTCAACAACCTCGGCAAAGCTATCATACTTAACAGCATTGAATGCAATTCCTGCATCATACATCCACCTTGCAAAAGCAGCACACGCTCTTCCTCTCAACTCTTTCTTGCATGCATCATTAATGGCTGTTTGTTTTCCATCCTCCTTTCTTTTTTATACCACAATTTCCGATCTGGGAGTGAAATATAAATCAATCGGTCCCTTTTGCTTTTGCATCTTTGAGGAATTGACACTAGCACTGCCACTGCCTGCACTGGCTACCCTTTTTCCTCGATTGTTAACTTCCATAATGTCATCCTCATCCTCTCCATCAATGAAATTAATTTCATCACTAGGTAACAAATTCATTTGATCTTTTTCTTCCTTTTTCTTACTCATGTACTCTTTGATTTCTTTTCTAACACTAGATGGGCATCTTGGGCATGCACTCACATTTCTATACCCTTCAGCTAAGTGTTGTTCAACCCGATAAATACCTCCTTTTGTAACTTTTGCACAAAAGTTACAAGTGACGGCATTTGTATCTTTCGGATTCTCCAAATGTGAGTAATTCCATGCCGGATCCTTTCTTGAACCATCACTAGGCATCTTTTAAAGTACAAACTACAATCAAATTCAAGATAACAAAATAATAGCAGCATGTAATCAGTGTCTGCAACAACTCTGGCAAATAAATAAATAAATACAGGGCTTCAAAGCAATTAGCAATATTAACATTTCAATTTAAAAAAATAAATACAAAGCTTTGGCAGAATGCAAAAAACAAAATATTATTCTTTAAGGTCTCATACTCTCATTAGAATTTGGTCACTAGCTTAAATTGGATGCATGCTATGATTTTATTATTATTATTAAATGGTAAACTCTGAATGTGCAAATCCAGATATTGAATAATTTATTAACTTTTCATTTGTTTTTTTGGGTGGGTAAGGTAATGTATTAAGTATTAACAATGTGACAGCTTCATTGGCAAGAGCAATCACTTTCGCTTGGGTGCCTTCTTTCCTTTCATTCTCTCTTTGTTCCAAACTTCCACGTTGAGATTGATTGTGATTTTTGATTCCACAGTTAATCAACACATCTTATGAGTTATGATCACTTTGCATGTATACATTTTAAATTTTTTAATGAGAATATGATTCCGGATACACCATAATTTACATGTTTCCATTTTCACCGAGCAGACGAGCTTAAGTATAATTTAGTGAAGAGCAAAAGAATTTGGAGAAAAAGCAGTCCGTGACACATGATTACTGGCCTCACCCAAAATATTAGTTACTTTCTATTCAGTAATTTCAGCTCTTCATGGATTTAACTCAATCATTACCTTAAGAAAGTGGTACATATGCAAAGCAATTTTTTATCTTCGATTCTTCTTTGTACATAATGGTCCTTAATACTCGAGAATATTAATTATCACAAAAGTTTAAGCTGCCAAAAATTTCGATCCAACAATGTATATCAAGATTTTACAAAATTAGAGTACACTTAACTAATTATTAGAGTACACTTAACTAATTATTTCATTTTAACAAAATTAGATAAAAATGCATTTCCTCAAACCAACAACATGTTAGAATGGAACAAATACAACTGTTCACACAAATAAATCAGGTTAATATAAAGTACCTCACACAAATAAATAAATAAATAAATAAATAAATGAAAAAAAATAAAAAAAAAATTGGAGTAAGAAAAAAATAATAATAATAATAAAAAGAAGAAAAAAAAAAAAAAAAAAAAAAAAAAAAAAAAAAAAGTCTGCCAGGAGAGAGCCGAGACTGAAGAGAAGAGAAGAGAAAAAAAAAAAAAAAAATCTGCCAGGACTCAGGACTCAGGAGAGAGCCGAGACTGAAAAAAAAAATACTGGAGAAACAAATAAATAAATAAATAAAATAAAAAGAAGAAAAAAAAAAAACAAATTTACCAGGAGAGAGCCGAGACTCAAGAAAAGAAGAAAAAAAGAAAAAGAAGAATAAAACTGGAGGCAAAAAAATAAAAAATAAAAAATAAAAAGAAGAAGAAAAATAGAAATAAATAACATAAATATCTAGCAAGAAAGAGCCGAGAGGCCCTAGGGCCCAGACTCGAGAGAAGAAAAGAAGAAGAAGAAAAGAAGAAAAAAAAAAAAAAAAAAAATCTGACCGAATCACCAATCCGACAGATCCGAGAAGAGAAGGAGAGAAGAAGAAGAACTAACCTGGAGAGAGCTGACGCAGATCCGAGAGTCCCGAGTGAGTACTTCGCTGCCTCTGTCAGTCTGTGTTCTTCTTTCCTTTGCTTCTCTTTTTTTTTTCGTTTTTTATGTTGCAAACTTGCAATAGGCTTTGGCTTTGAGCTTTCAAGTTTAAAATAATACAATACAAAATACAAATAATATAACAATACAGAGTTACAGACTACAGAGTCACAAACAAAACAAAAAAAAATAAGGAAAAGAAGTTAAAAACAAAAGTTTCATGCGAGCGCGCCTTTATAACGCCTGTAGCCTGGCGCCTTGATCATAAAGGCGCACGCCTTATATAACCCAACCGCCTTAAGTACACTCAAGGCGCCAACCTTGCGCCTGGAGGCGCCTTGCGCCTCAGGCGCCTTTGACAACTATGGCATTTACATCCCAGATGAGGAGTTATACAATGTCAATTTAGGACCGTGTAATGCATCAATTACTATAGAGGGCTTTTAAAGTTCTTTGCTTTTTATGTTTTTTTATATATTAAAAATAATAAATATAGGGCAATTTGGTAAATGTATAATGACATTGGACGAAAAGTGGTGGAAGGTGCCCGGGTGCAAATTGTTCATTTTTGAAACTACAGTGATTGACTTGCTCACTTTTATACCACATGGAGGTATTGTGCTCATTTGGTGAAACCTGAGAGGGTTTCCACTTTTGCCTTTATAGTGTTTAATTTGACCCCTCCGAATTTTCACTTTTGGCACCGCCTAAACGGAACTAAACGAAACTGATCCCAATAGTTCCTAAAGAAATAGAACTGGAACAAAAACCGTTAATGTTTGGAACCGAATCAAACCAAATCGTTAAAAATTGGTTTGATTCGGTTCTAAACAACGGTGCTCTTTTGATAATTATCATTATGGCAGGAACAGCCTCAGTAATAATTTACTATCAACCATATGGATTTGACTTACCAAAGCAAATACAAATTTATACCATAACTGAGCAATAATAATAAACCTCTCAACCAAGAAATAAAACATACATGTAATCTAAAAGCATGGGCTATTATTCCTTTTTTTTTTTTTTTTTCCTTTAAACAAGTATAAAATTCAAAAGTACTAAAAAAATTAAAGAGGAGGTTTTTTTTTTAACCTTGGAAACACAAAGAAAAGCAGCACAAATCAAAACAATCAATCCTAAGCTGCTAGAACAAGAATATCAATAGGAATATGGACAAGAGCAATATCTCGCGTGCGCGGCATAGGAGTGTTGAATATGCATATTCGAACCCCTAAATATATGTATGTATAAAGATTGAATCTTTGAAAGAAAATGAGAGTTTTGGACTTATTAATAATTTGGTATGCCCACCACAGTCAATTATCATCCTCGTCATTTTCCAACATGTCCATGTGTTTTTGAATTATTGTGGAATTTTATTCATATTCTTACATTAATTGTCCCGCTCACTCTATTTAATTAAATTTGCTCCGCCAAGGTGACACAGTGGTATCTTTCATACCTTCCAAAGTAGTTAGTGAGTGTTGAAATCTCCAAAAGAGTAAAGGGGATGTGTGCAGGGGCGAAGCCAGAAATTAAATTCAGGAGGGTATAGTGTTAAAAAAAAAAAAAAAAAAAAAAAAATCAATAATCACGACAATAAATAAAGATTCTATAAATTAAGAGACAAAGAAAAAAAATTACTCAAAATAATATGTCAATCAATGAGTAATTTACGAAAGATAAATAGTTAACAAAAAAAATAAAAAAGGAAAGAAAAATGAGAGAATTTTGAAAGGGAAAAAAAAATTGGAGTTTGATTCAAAAAGTAAAATTTGACTTTTTTTAAAGGAAATTAAATGAATTTAAAGAGTAAAAAATAGAAGAAATACAAAATTTATGAGATAATTTTAAAAAATAAAAATTTTAGGGGGGACATTATATGAATTTTTTTCATATATACATGTAAAAATATATAAATTTAGTATATATATTATATAGTAAGCAGTGCCAGGCCAGGGGGCATATGCCCTCGGGCATACACTGGCTCCGCCCTGAATGTGTGTGACTTTCTTCCTAATGATTAAAAAAAAAAAAATTAAAATTAAATTAAAATTCGCTCCCGCTTAGATCAACTGCACTCGATTGGACCTCTGGGTTTGGATTATTTTAGCAATGGGTAACTAAAATAACCTTTTTTGTTTTTGCAATTGGGTTATTTTAGCAGATGGGTAACTCGATTGGACCAAGGGCCTTGTTTTTGTTTTTGCAATTGGGTTATTAATATTCCCTTGTTGGGCTACTCATATATGCCATTAGAGCTTGTTGGGTTATTAATATGCCCTTGTTGGGTTATTAATATGCCCTTAGTTTTTGCAATTGGGTGTTTAATATGCCCTTGTTGGGCTACTCATATATACCATTATTTTAGCAGATGGCCCCTTTTGATAATAAGCCTCCTTATTCTGTACATACTCATCTAATACACATTAAAAAATAATTAAAAAAACAAAAAAAAAAACATTTTGATGTGAATTTTGTAATTTATAGCTTTAGGCATTAAAAATATATATATATTCAGTTAAAAGACCTAAATATGATTTAATACATTTTACTCCGTGTTTATATTTATTTGTCTGTTGGTAAAATTCTAAGAGCTGAGGCTGGTGGAAATTTAATGTCAAAGATTATGTTTATACTTTGTTGATTTTACCTACCACTCTTGTGGTTAACGTAGACTATAGTAGATAACTCAACAAAGATTTCCATAGATGCAGTTAAATCACGTGTTATTGTATTCTATATTGATATCCAGCCTCAGAGTGGACTTATATCACCCTTCTTAATTGGTGCAATTAGTGGTCATCTTTGCACATGACCACACTAGATAATTACTCTTGTTGGTTGAGGATACAGGTTTCAGCTCGTCTTCAGCAAAACAATTTGATGATGATGTATTTATCTTACAATAATAATAATAAATGAAATACAGTTGACCGTGAAAGTTTCTCATACCTTGTGGTATTCGCGCAGGTATTCATCATTGGACCAGTGAAGCAGGTGAGGAAAGCAGAGGCCATGTTAAGAGGGAGAATGCTAGAAATGTATTAAGAACTATATCCTGTATCGCCTTTGTTCATCCTGTACTCTACAATAAAAAATATTATATTCTAAAAAAATTGAGTTTGCTGTTTAATATCCTTGGATCCTCACCTGTCCATATAGACATAGATATCGGTTAGATGAGGGGATACTGTTTTAATTTTTTTAATGCCATTTTTATTTTGCTAGGGTTTTGCCCTAGGCTTCCGAGAACTAAACTGGTGCTCGAGTATGTGATGAATTTCAATGATGTAAAATGATTAAAAATAATTGTGAATTTTGAAGGGGAAAAAGAGAGGAAGAT